CCCCAAAACCCCAAAACCCCAAGCATCGAATATCTTATGAAAAAGATAGAGAACTTAACAAAAATAAAATCTTCGATAATAAATCATTTTTATAACAAACTAAAATGTCTTATCCAAAATAACACCCTTCAAAAACTATGCCTTTAGGGGACGTAAGGACTCAAGTTAAATCCTAAAAGCGAGAACAAATTAAGTTAATGTTGATCAATAAGTTTAGACTGAAGTACAACGCTTAAAAGTCAACTGATTCAGAAGAGATCGATTAGTATATTCGCGAAGAAGTTGAAAACTTAATGAGTACGACTCAGTTATCTGAAGTAGATCTTAAAAACTTAGACAGAAAATTAAGATAAAAATATGGATCATCTGCTGATCAACGAACATTTGAATTATAAAGTAGTGTATCACAAAAATCTATACACGCCAACGTTCAAAAGCAATCCCAGATCTTAAAGAGTTCTATGTCTCAACGTAGTGAACTCTCTCTACACTCTTTGAAATCTAAAACTGTTCTTGAATAAACTGCAAACAATTTGCAAAGTGTAAACGGCGATGCTGGAGAAGAGGCTTGGGCTGATATTGTGAGATTTAACACAATCTAATACTAATAAGAGTAAGAGGAACTCAAACGCAAAAAGGAAGAGCAAAAACTTAGAGTCCGCGAAGAATTGGCTAAGTAGATGGAGGAGCGCAAACTTGGAAAAAAGATTGAGAAGCAAAGTGACCAGTAATACTTTGAAAAGCAAAAGCATTTTCTAGAAGAATAGGAAAAGACAGAGAAGTAGAAGCAATTTGAATTGCAGCAAAAGATAAAGCAAGAGGCATAAACACGATCAGAATAGCTCTAAGCCACAATATAAAAGAGAAATGATGAATTGAAAATGGAAAGAATGCAGGGTAATCAGATGAGACAAAAGATGTAAGATGAATTGGAGTAGGAAAAAAGAAAACTTAAAGAGAGAATGGAGAACTTCAAAAGAGAGCAATCAGAATAATTGATTAATAACAAACTACTAAGATAAGAATAGTTAAAGAAAGAGCTAGAATAAGATAACAGACCACCTAGTGGTCATGACTTAATGCACTCAATTTACTAGGATAAAGTTCATGTCAGTTATGAGAAGCGTGCAAAGTAAGATAAAATTCATGAGCATATCAAAGAGTAAATCGAAAATGGAGAGTCAATCAGAAGAATCAATTAAGAGCAGAAAGCCCTTGAGAAATACATCAAGAAGAAGGAGGTTGAGGATAAGTTGGCAGATCACAAGAAAAGATAAATTATTAAAATGCAAGAAATGGAAGCGAAACGTATGCTTGACTTGTAAGTTGCTGAAAGAGAGTAAAATAAAAAGCTTAGAAAATTTGAGAACACTACTGATGCTAAGTTCATTGTTGAAGAAATCAAAGTGTAAGGTGAAATTGAGAAGAAAAAATTAGAGGAAATCTAAATTAAAAACAAGACTCAGTTCTTTAGACTCAAGGATCAGATAGAAGAGAGAAAGAAGCCAAAGAAACTTGATCCCATAGAGTACGATATGAACAAAAAGCTGATTGAGAAGATTCAGACTGTAAAGGCAGGTAATGGCTTGAGCATGTCACAATCCTAAGTATTTGCCCCATCACTCAGGGGCTCAATGAGTGTTTTCCAACTCTGATAAGCATTATGATGAAATGCATCATATAAATGGATAAGTATATCACTTAAGAACTACATTATTTTACTCAATTAAAAATTTTCCAAGATTCATTATTTTTTATTAGACGGGGTTTTGGGGTTTTGGGGTTTTGGGGTTTGGGGTTTTGGGGTTTTGGGG